GTGTGTGTGTGTGTGTGTGTGTGTGTGTGTGTGTGTGTGTGTGTGTGCTGGTAGGCAAGACTTCAGCCTGAGTGATCTTACAGAAAGTATTTTAACATTCTGACATGTAATGTCACAAGCCAAGCATGTCCGTGTGCAGAGCAAACAAACCTGAGCTGGTTCCTCTTCGGTGATGTAGCAGTGTTTTTTACATGCTCCTTAGCCTTAAAACTACTTAAAGAACAGTCATCTACACTGCATCCTACTTGTGTGTATATATGTAAATTAAAGTATTAGCTATTATGTGCTGTTCTTGTGAACCAAACAGGGAACTTAAGTATTAGTTAAATGACTTTCAAAGATTGCTCTTTCTCTTGGCGGCTATTTAAGTGACTTTTCCATTTTGTTTGCCTCATGCATGCAATATGATCCACCAAAATACATGGCTCAAACTGTGTAGCCAGCTGCCACCAACTACAGCGCAAAGCTGATAAATGAAGCTGTTGATGGTGGTGAATGGATGGATGCATTAGCTAAAATGGCCAAAAAGCCTAAGAAGAAACATTTCTGCATTAAAACGGACACAACCCACTTGACAGTTTCCACCCAATCGATATGTTCAATACATTTCTACCTCCCACTAGTCGGCACGCCCTCAGGTACGCAACATCCCAGCTTTGGAGCCGTGCCAGCTAATTTGTCAACTCTAAACAGGCCAGTCAAAAAGAAACTCTCAAATGGTGGACTCACTTAGTAAATGTATTTTGAGTCGAACGAGAAACCTTCTGTCGGTCTCCTCCAAAGGTGGTCCATATTGTTGCAAATGACCACGTTCAGTCCTGCCCTAGAAGGGAGTGGTCCTGAGGTCGGGGTGATTGTGGGTTTGCAGTTGCGAGTCCAGTGCTGATGGCAGATGTGCTTGTTACTTGGGTGAGCTTTCAGTTCAGATAGAGAAAACATGGGTGAGGTCTCCTGAACTCCTGAAAAGTTGTAATTATACTTCTTTTTTTCAGTGTTTAATTAGATGCAGCTCTCCCGAGTGACATTGTGTGCCCCAACCTACTGCTCTGTCCTGACTAGCATGGTAATTATGGAGTTCCAGAGAAATGTCATTCCATTTCCGTCGATACTGCCGGCCTCAAATCATCAGCCCTGTGAAATGTTCAAAGGTCTGTGAAGCGGGTTATTTTCGTAGACATGGGCAGTGTCGGGGGTGGGGGGGCGGGGGGCAGAAAAAGGAGGCAAAGAAATGTCTCTTTCATCCTCCTGGTTCTCTGATGTAAATTAGACCAAATATTACATTGATTAGTTGTCCTTGACGTTTTAGAGGAATGGTGAGTTAAACTATTCATTCCCTCTGATGTAGAGCCAGCATACAATGTACTGTTGTGAATGGCATACCAGGTCAAACTGTTTCAAGTTGTAGCATTGTGTTTCTATGTATACATGTGCTATATTGAATATAAATGAATTGTTATGATTTCCACGATTTAGTTTCAAATAAAGGACACTGCTGTATATTTTGAAGACTTCAAAAGTGTGTGTGTGTGTGTGTGTGTGTGTGTGTGTGTGTGTATTGAATGATGTGCAGATTTTATCGATTATTTGTTTGGTTTATAAAATGGTGTCTTCTTACCAACAGTCTAAAACCCAAAGCTATCCAGTTTACTGTCACATATGGTAACGGTTAGACTTGTTTGAGCCAGAAATTGTGCCATTTTTGTTAGATTACTCTGCAACTATTTTGATAATTGATATTAAGTACATTTATGACTAATCATTTTAGCTTTCCTTGTCCACAACTTCAAATCCTCAAAATATAATGGCAATGGAAGCATGCAGGGATTTCTGATGTAAATTGGATAATTTATTTAGCAGCTAAAAGGTTTACACTTACAAAATGCCTAACTTACACATTGGAGATCTTGAGGTTCAGGAAAGCCTTCCACTTAATGTCACTCATGTTCTGAAGTTTGAGTATGCCTTCAACTTCCTGATGCCCGGCAGCGAGGATGAGACATTAATTTAAAGGGACACAGATGTACATACTGTACAATCAGTAATTTCATAGAGCTGTCTCAAACGGGATACCTTCCATCTACCTGCAGTAATCCTGAAAGTGGAGAGCCTTCAACAAAATGCATCAAAACACAGCCTTTTTTTTTTTTTTTTTTTTTTTTTTTGTTCAAACCTGTCTCAACAAAGCAAACTAGAGCTGTTGTGTAATCTCACTCTGTTTAGTGTTTTACTTGGAAGGTCAAACATGTCACAACATGATTAACATCAAGTCTGCATAAAGATCTTCTGTGAATGTAATTTATCTGACTGCAGCCTTCCACATATTCCTGCTTAACCTCCTCCCCAGTGCTCTCTCCTCTTGACATTTGGCAAAAGGTGAAAAGAGGTATTGTGTCGCACAGGAAGTGTATGTATGTGTGTGTGTGTGGCTTGTTTATAGGCAAAACGCTCCCATGTGTCCCTGTGTACGCATTCTCCCCATACTTTCCACTTAAAATATTGAGTCCTGGTTCTTGGGGCATGGCGGTAAACAGTAATTGGGTGTTTTGAAATGGCTCATTTAAAAGGCTGTTCACAACATTTGTGTTGTTTCCCAGCAACGGCTTGTTGGTGGCACATATGTAAAACTGGTTTACCATATTCTGGTATGATTTGCATTGTTACAGTGGATGGGACAGCCAGTTAATGTTTTTACAAAACACTTTGGATAATGTCAACATAAGCCAAACTGTTTTTTGTGATCAAATTAAACGAGTACAACAGTACTAGCATATACATACTGTATATTTAAAGGACAAATAGTAAAAGTTGTTGTGCACAATGGCCAATTTCTTAGTGTATATTATAGGATTATAAATATTGAAGCATTAATGTGTACATCAACTTCTTATTAAAGATGGTTAAGCTTTATATACTTTATCTGCCGGGTAGCTTGTGAATTTACCCCCGAGGTCTATGAAGTTTTTATCTTAATCTATAATGCATAGTTTGCATTATTATTATAAAGAAGCAGAAAATGTAAATACTGCCAAGTGTTCCATTTCAGAATTAAACTTGCTTTCCACGAATGAGATGCATATTTATAATTTATAATAGTTTTGTAAAAGCTGCAAATTACTGACATTAGAAAATGCACCCGTGTGGCCTTTTAAGACATGTGCATGTTTTTAGCTTTGCCGGGCAGGAGAGGGTTAATGGAGCAGCACGGTAGGGGTGGGAACACTTTCCCAGACACACACACACACACACACACACACACGGATAAACATACACAAGTCTGGTCTCTCAGAGACAGTTTAGTCATCCAGTGAGCAAGACGGAAGACTGTCGACCCCCTGTTGTCCACGTTTGGAGAAGAAGTCAAAGTAAGTTTTAGCCTTCATCGTGTTTTTACGTTGCGCGTAACTTGTGTCGTCATATAAGAGTAACTTGCACGAGAATCCGTGTCAGTTAGCTGCCATCTACTTTGCCTTAAGAAAACTTTGTCTCGGTCCTAAAACAGCCGTCCATGACAAACTGTCTACTAAACTAACACGAAATGTATTCGCTGTGTCGACTGAAGGCACGTTAAATTAATATAACAGCAGCCTGACGTTATGCTGAAGTCCACCTTAACCGAACTGATTACGTTTAACGTTAGATAAGCGTGGACAAAGTCTCGAGGTCCCCTGACAAATGGACCAAATGGGTTTCAGTGTAACGAGTAAAAGTGTGACATTGTGTCACTTGGTGTTACGCGTCCTCGTGGGTCGGTGAAAAGACTAAGCTGTTACAGTAGCAACCTGTCTGCCGCGGTCACGTCCATCACGTCTCAACTCTTTGTCAATTTGTACGCAGTTATTTGCCAACTATGTTTCGTGGCATTAATATCACGAGTTATATTGAGATATGTATAGGCTGTTGGTCTTTAAAGAGTCTCATAAGCTGCTGACGTTGAAGCAGGTGTCGAGTGGTTCTCCAGTACACGCTTTACTTTCACAGGGAAAGTGTTTCACTTAATATAAGTGTTAACCGTCGTAGAGACTGCAGCCCACAGTCCTCATCACGGGGACATTCGTCTCAACGTCGAAGAGTGTTTAAGCCTCCCTAGAAAGTTTGTTTTAACTGTTTGACGGCGGAATTAGTGTATTACCAAAAATAGTGTATGCTTAAACAAATGAGCATCAGAGCACTTATGTTGGACGAGGTTCAGCAAATGTCCTGGTTATGTGCAATGGCTGTACAGCTATATTGTGTGTGTGTATAAGAGGGCTTGGCAAGAAAAAGGTTGTAAGCTGTGCGGAGGCATTCCTAAACCTGAGTAAGATGCCTACCCGCCACATAGGAGGCAACGTCAGGTTGCAACAGTGCTCTTGCATTGTGTGTGAGGCTTTCTGTAATATTGAGGTTTTACAAGCAGAGTTTCCTATCTGAAGGTGCACACCTACTGTAGTGGAGCAAGCAACTCTCTTACCGCTCTGTCATTTTCTCTATCCAACTTTTAGTTTCCTTTAGTTTTAATGCAGAAATTATAAGTAGATTCACCCATTCTTCAGGGACACAATTTGAAATCCTCATTCTGCAGCTGTGTCACGTTTCTAAGCTGCAGTATACCTCTGGATTATGACGTTTTTAAACGGCTCATATACCCACATGATGTATCTTTTAAAACCCACGGTAGAGCAGAGGTGAGTTGTTTGGTGCGGTGTGGGAAACGACAGCCTGAGGCTGTTGGCCAATGAATCCTCATTTAGCTGGTTCCATTTGATTGGGCTTTAAGAGGTTGATAAAGTGGTGTTTCCATCACATTTGAAGCAGGCTGTGAGGGAAACACTGTTTATATGAGCGACTTAAATCAGCCAAAAGATTTACCCTGTTGATAGCTGATGCCTTCATTAAGCCACATCCTTATTACTCTTCTCTTTTATAAGATCAAAGTAATATTCATCTGCTTGGTTTAAGCTAATCGCACCAAGAAAGCAACTTTAAATAGTTTTTGCCTGTGGTAACTTGTCGAGGAAGTCCTTCTTTTTAAGGTGATCAGTAAGTAGTTATTTTTCGTCATGTTGCCACAGATGCTTCGTTTCCACTGGGTAGTGGGACGTTACCCGGTGCTGAACCCCTGTGAGGGATTTCACCCCTTTAATGTAGCAAATCCCCTTCATCCCACATAATGTGTTTAGCCTCGTCCACTGTTGAAGCAACCCAAGTAATGAAACATAATCTAGATTACAGATTTTGAATGACCCAGAGGAATAAAAGCCTTCACAAAAAAAACAATATGTTGATCATGAAAAATATCATTATTAGCAGTCCTCCCCCTCGCAAGCTGCAGTATTACGCTCAGAACAGAACGTACACCACTAGCTGCATCTAGAAATGTATACCTGCTGAAGCAAATAAGTCACCAAAATGCTGCTGAGATAATGAGCGACATCCTGTCTGTACACGGGGACAAACAACTTTGTTACAGATGTTAAAGCGGGACTCTGGCCTGGTATTAAGGGCTTAAGACCAGGCATGTTGGTGCCAGCGGGACGGCCTCAGAGATGTGTTAATGGGTCATATATGAATACAGGAAGAGGAGGTTGGCACATTGGCTTGTTTTGGGGCTGTAGTTGATCCATGCTGGGTCCATTACTGACGCAGTCGGTGCCATCTGCCACTAATGCTGCTTTCATAATCTTGTCTGGATCCCATGCTTGTGTATTTTTTTTTTTTTTTTAATGAACTCTAATTTCGATTTAGTGCACACCACTGTTTGATGATGATTACACGCATTATGCCGGTTGGAGGTAAATGGGGGCTACGATGGGGAAAGAGATGTCTGTATGAGGTCACAGAGTTTGGAAAGTTCAGGTGACTCATTTGCAGCTTTCTTTGAGTCATTTCTTTTTCTGTGTTTGCACCATGAGCCTGAGCTTCAGAGGTTTCGCAGAATAGTCGACTATCGAAAACCGCTAGTCGACACTTTGCCTTCATCTGTGGTTTTAGCATGGCACGGTAATAAAGCAGTGCCAGCACATCTACAGTGCAGCAGGTGTATGCAGCTGTGTCGTCGTGCTCAGGGACTCTTTAACACCGTGCGGTGTGTGTGTGTGTGTGTGTGTGTGTGTGTGTGTGTGAGGCTGAAGCAGCAGACGTGAAGAGGCAGACAGAAACGTAGCCCTGCGGCCCGATGCTCGACTACGATCAACGGTGTGGAACTGAGCAAAGGTGGACGAAACTTTGGTTGTCGTTCAACGATTCGTTTGAAGAGTCATTGTCTGCGTTATGCCGTTTTAAATAAACAATTAAGCCTGCTGGGGGTTTATTCCAATCACATCACAGCTTATTAACAGCCTCTCTGAGCCAATCTGGGACTCTGCTATTAGTTGACCCTTTGCTGGTTGTATTTTGACCTTTTTGACGAGAATTGATCATTGTTATGGGGTTAAAGAAATGCGATATCCAATCTGCTGTGATTAATTGACTACTTTTGGGAGTAGTTGATTACTATTAAAATTCACCAGCCCTCCTGAGTCTTTTTCTTCTGTCCTATTTCAGACGAACTTGTCTTGTGATTTCTGCAGCATATTGAATACCAGCCGTTATATAACATTCCTGTTTCTTGGAATTGCCGTTTGGCTCCGCTTTGTATTTCCATTGCACTTTCCAGTCCTTGTTTTTTGCCTCGGAACAGATTTGTCATCGACTTTCAGGGAGTCCAGTGTGATCGGGTTGGTCGAGGTAGGCTCAGCAAAAATAAACCTTTTTAAATTTGCCCCAAAGTTTACAGTATCTGCTGCTAATGTGTGAGCTTGCGTGGGAGTTCTGCAAAAGAGTGTATTTATGGTTTTGGGTTTTGGCTTCGCTGCTAACCTCAATATGCTCAGTCAGCTGCTTCAGCATGAATAGGGCCGGTCCTGTTGGCCTATTTCATTTGTTGTTTGAAAAACAATATAATAAGCAGCATTTAGGCATTGTTGGGAATTGTTTTCAGATGGACGGAGCTCAGTCAACAAACAACGGTTGTCATAACTAAGCCGTTTTTTAATCTGCTCTGCTGCTCACCATCTAGACATAAAGACCAGCAATCTCCTTTAAGGATTATCTGCTTTGTGCTGTGTACAGTATTGTAAACATAAATTGTGTTGGTATTTAGGTTATCAAGTACACTAATAGTATCTGTGGTTACTAATTGTAATGTCAACCCCAGACATCTTTCGACAGGCCTTCGAAAGATGGGTGTTGAATCCTGTTTCATGTTTAAATGAGGCTCTAACTCATTTCCTGATGTTGTGATGCATGTATTAGAAAGAGAAGAGATGGCAGCTTGGATGTGATTGCTTTTCTTTTCACTTGCATGTAAATGAAGACGCACCAATAACCAACTGAAGGGGAAGATAAAAGTCCTGTAGTCGTATGTGACTGATAGATGTCAGCAAAGTTAATATGTTCCAATGTAATTAAAGTAATTCAAGAGGTAATGCAGCACATTAGTCTCTGTAGAAAGGGATTCTTTGCCATGATTTTCAGTCAATATACATCAAGTCATGGGTTTCTGCCTCCAGAAGTGGTACACTGTTTAAAATAAAAGTAAGTACACACTATTATCGTCCCAGGCATTGGGAAGAACCTACAGTTTTGATGTAAAAGAGAACAGCTTGTCATCTGATACATTGGGAGTTGTCTCCGTAGGGTATTTTCAGACTCCTCAAATAACCACAATGGCTGGTTATATTTGCAGTGCTGCCAGTGAAGGAGGAGGAGGTCTGGTTGTGGTAAATATATTTTCTTTCGACTCGTGGAGCCCAGGCTGAATGCTGCTGCTAGAGACTTCCATAAAGTGACCCTATGCTGAGCCGCATGTGTTGTGCTTGCCCGGCCCACAGGTGTTCCCTCGTAGGAAAATGTTACTCACTGAAAAGTGAGTAACGCTGAAAATATGTGTAGGCTGTGTACATGGGAAAAACACACATATCGTTGAGCGAGAGGTAAACTGATTGTAAAACAATGCAGACATCAGTGTAACACGCCCGAAGCTAAAATATCGCACCTTAACATGACATCAGCCGGAGTCAGCCTGTTACTGCTAGTAAACACTGCCGTAGATTGGTTTGGTTCCGCTTTGCTCGAGATGAAAATAGCATGTCTAACCCACATGCTGTCATGGTCTCACCAGGGTGGTTCCTCTTGTTTGTCAAGAATTAAACTATGTCCTTCAACAAAGTTTGCTTTCAAAAGTTTACTATACTGTCGTAAAAACCCAATATTGTAAGAAAATGGGCCAATTGTTGTCTTATAAAAATAGCTGAGCTTTTTAAGACTGGAGAGACATGGCCGTTGAAAATGAATTAGATGCAATGTTGTTGCTTTGAACATTAGAACTGTGTTTAATCAGGAACTCATGAGTCCTTGTTTTGTGGCATGCTAGGCTAGCTCAAGGCTATCTGACTTTGTTTTTTAATAGTATCTTTTCTCCATCACTGTGTCTGTCTTCTCTTTTTATCTCACACACGCCCCCACAGTGGAATGCAACGTTTCCTTCTGATGTTTAACTTGACCAATAACTTCTGTTTATTTCTGTCTTCTAGAAGCGCAGCCATGGGGAAAGGATGCATCACAGTCACCAAGTACTTTCTATTTCTCTTCAACCTCCTCTTCTTTGTAAGTAATCTCATTTCTTTAATCACTGTCACATCAACTGTCAGGCATGTCACATGACTTCCACTTCGACAGCAGCTTTTATTTATCTAAAGATGGAAAGATAGGTATGCTACGCTCCTTTCAGCTCAATCAGACACTCGTGACGCATTTGGAGCTGCCTGATGCCTTTTAAGCAGGACTTTTTATTTGACTAAGCCTCCTTATTCAAATGGCAGCGGAGATTAGTGGAGATACAGGGGGATATGTCGCTGAAAACTCTGCCTGGAGCGAGCGACTTTACGGAGTACCTCAGCACAGCAGATGGTTTCTGTTTGTTTCCTCCTCTCTCTCACACACCGGCCACAACATGAAGTCCAGAGGTTGATAAAACTCCAGACTCCTAAAAGCAGCTCTGCGAGGATGTCCAGGCCTTTCCAATGAAACTGTGGCTGTAAACCTGACTTTGATGTGAACACTCAACTGGTGTCTAATAGGAAGTGTGTGTGTGTGTGTGTGTGTGTGTGTGTGTGTGTGTGTGCGTGTGTGTGTGTGCGTGTGTGCGTGTGTGCGTGTGTGCGTGTGTGCGTGCGTGTGTTTGTCCGTGTAGACAGACTACTGCAGGCTAGAGGAAACCAGGAAGTGGTGGGCTAATGATGGCTGCCGGGAGCTCAACAGTACCTTTTAAATGAACAGCTCTTAAGCAGGGCTCTAATGACTGTTGTGGGGGGGGTGTTTTTCCCCCACTACAGTGTCCCGCAACTTCTAAACAAGTGCCCTCTTAATTGCATAGAAGTTAATTTCCTCCTTACAAGAGTGTACAGGGTGAAACCGATCATTTTCTGAGGCTTTCAGTCGCGAGTGACAAAAATGTTCTTGTCTACATGTGATGACTCGTCTCATTTCTTCTTGTCTTGACCCCTTTAGCCGTACTTAACACTATTCATTTTGCAGTTCTGATACGGGTGGGTACGATTTGAGAAAAATCAGCAGAGTGGGTCTCTTGATCCTCTCCACATCCCCCCACATTGGTGTGAGAGAAAGAGACAAGCAGAGTGAAGAGTTAGGTCCTGATGAGTTCCAGATGTGACAGACTGAGGAAGCATGAATACGGCACTCACTCTATGACACACCAGCACAGATTCTGTGTTTTTTTTTTTTCTCAGATGAGATCTGGTGCCTGATTCTTCTCTCTTTCCTCTCCACAGATCTTCGGAGCGTTGATCATGGGCTTTGGCCTGTGGGTCCTCTTTGATAACCAGAGCTTCATTGCTGTTCTACGTAAGTGTTGAAACACACACACACACACACACACGCACACACACACTCACACACACTCCTGCTGCCACGTCCTTAAGTTTGGTGATAACCATCACGTCAGCAACCACTCAGTTCTGACTCTTGTCAGTTCAGCTGGTCTGAACGCAGTATATTTGGAAATGGAGATTGGAGAGTGTTCTTGTCAGATCCTAAAACCTCTGGCCTCCTCTGCAGAGCTTATGGTGCATTTATCCCCAAAGGACGCCTTCCCAAGCAACTGTGGAGGCATTCCCGCAAACAAACCAAAAACATTACGCACAGATGAAACTTTATGACTTCCTGAGCGATTCAAAAGCTTCCCTGTAGACTCGCACTGATAGACACATCTGTGGAGATCTAGGGGAGTAGGCGAGTCAGGCAATAACCGAGGCATGTCAAGTTGATTAATCATATGTCGGTAAATAGCAGGTTTATTTTCACCACACTTTCCACAGTTCTTTGAACTTGCCGGCTCCCTCAGCTCCCCAGATAGCAGATGTGCACAGACAGAATGTCCCACCTTCACAGATGTTGTCACAGATCTATTTGTAGACACTGCATAGTGAAAAAGAAACCAAGTATTCTCCTAAGAGGCAAAGTTATCTGCTTTGTCATAGACAACAATATGTCTAACTTGGGTTATCTAGAGAATGCATAATGAAATCCAATTCCAGCTGAAAAGAACAAGGAACCATGGATGGAAACTCTTAGTTGCCATGAATCTTGTTCTAAATGCTTTCAGTGTGTTCATCCCACATGGAGCATCACCGAGAGCAGCGTTGAGGTTTTGGTTTTGGTTTTGGTGTAATGGTACAATTTTCTAACATTTTATAAACATGCTGATCAAGACAAGACGTTGCAGATTAATCAATGGTGAAAATAATCATAAGTTGCTGCCATAACATTTTTTTAGCTTCTGTTGGCAGTCCGTGAATATGTGAAGTTTTCTGATGAGAAAGGCCAATCCCCGAGGACCGAGCAGAGCTGCAGAATGCTATATTTAGGCAGGAGGTCTGTGCTGCTTTGACTAATGAGTTGTGAAGAAGCTAAAGTTATGACGAAGACCAGCCAGAACTGACCTTGTGTCCCGAACTCGTCAGACGGACTCTTGTCTTCCTCTGGCTCATTTTTCAGCTCTTGCGGTCACTTCTGGAGGTATCACTCCCAAGGTTATTACTGAGCCGAGTTCGCTTATCTCCAGTAAAGGCAGTACAGTATCCATCATCACTGCCAACCCCAGTCCTGTTGTTGTGATAATCCAGCTGTTCCTCCCGAGATAGCTTCACTGGTTCACCCTGAGGATATCCCTTCCTATGTGGGGCTTGATGACCTTCTCTCCTCCATATATTTTCGTTCCATGTACCCTGGAGGGGTCAAGTTCAACTCCGAACTAAAGGATTTCTAACCTCACTGGAAATCTCTTACCACTCTGTAGAGGAAAGAAAACAAAACGAAGCTGCAGGCAACGCTGTTTATTGACTCTGTGTGTTCCCCTCAGAAGTTGTACCATTGCCTGACCATAAACAGGATCTCTGTGTTTTCAGTTTCCATTCTTTATGAGTTATATTAATAGAGGCCTTTGCAGCTGAATGGCTTCAGGGAGGGGAACTTTTGGGAATGTTTTGGTTTCAGGACCCCTATTCCTCAGTTAAACGGGCATCTTCCTCTGTGTACAGCGCTCTATGTCTATACAGTGCTGTTAATGCTTTACCTCAGGTACACAAGGCCTTCAGTTCATCTCGCTGGCACTTAGCTTGTCTTATGTTTAAACAAAAGTCCGCTTTGGAAAGGAGGTCTGTGAGCCAGAGAGTGCGCCAAAGCACAGTTTGGAAATATGCTGTAGATTAATTCAGAAACTTTCCAAAGTCATGAACATAAAAAAAAGAGAACTTGTTTGGAAAATGATTTTTCTTTGTGCTGCTTAAACTCTAGAAAATTAAGCACAAAGATGATCTACTTCTGTTTACATTTTGAATCTGTACATAGAGTCAACCAAGCTGAATGTGTGGCCCTGGTCGTGTTTACAGAGCGACATACAATACCAGAACTGTCCCCCATCCTCTCTCAGAAGCTTTCTCGAAGGGCATCCCAGCGCTGCCTCTTTAAGTGGAAAGTTCCATGGAAACCGCCTGAGTGACTATTTTAGAATATCTAGCAGAGATGGAAACGTGCCATAGCACACGACCGAGCAGCCAGGCGAACACATGCTGACTGTGAAATTACCACAGAGCACAGATGCTACAGCTTCACAGCAGGAAGGTAAACAAAGGACAGTTTCTGTTGCTCTGCGACTTTGATACACTGGACAGAGGGTCTGACTGGAAACACTGCTTTTAGTTTTAAAAGACTTAGAAATAACGAACTGAAATATAATGGCCGGCCGGAATATGTTTCATTGCTAGCTTCTGATTCTACATGATGTAGGAGGAGAAAGTCAATCCACAGATTAGATGTAGTGCCATAACATGCCAGAAAATATTACAAAATGGCTTCAGTTCACACTTTCGATGTGGTCACGGGGAGAATGGTTTTGAGGTTGCATTAGTGTTGCATGACATTTACTCTGACTCCAGGGTGTATGTTTTTACTGGAACAAGCATTCATTTAACCACTGGGCTGAAGGGAAGCTACACACATCTTTCTTTTCATCTTTCAATTATAATTCCTACTTTTAATTAATAACCATAGAAAACTGGCTTATGGAAAAGTATTTTGAACGTCCATTGACTAATTTAACAGTGAAATACTTTTGCTCCACATTGAGGCTAATAACTGTCAAGGAAATCATAGCATCTAGCAGAAAGAACCCATGACCATGTATTATGCAGCTCACACTGAAAGTTGCGTTACCGCTTCCTCTATTCAACGTCTGCTCTAGATATCGATCTGTAACGAGACACTCAGCAGTCTCTTGCATGCTTTGGTTTTGCAACACTGTGTTCAGTGTATCTCGATGGTCTCACTCAATCTCTCGACAGTCATTTAGGCCTATGCTTAAATGCATCTTCCCAAAATCTTCAGGTAGTCTAATTACGTTTTTTAAGGAACCTGCTGACATCTGTTGCTTTAGCAGCCACTGTGTGTGTGTGTGTGTGTGTGTGTGTGTGTGTGTGTGTGTGTGTGT